AACAACATGCTCAGTCTTAAATTTCCTGTTACCATGGCAACTAGGGGACATCTCAAAATTGCCAAAAATCACTATTTTGCGTTGATTTTTTCCATCAAAATTGATTTCAAAGTGCTGCCACTTCTCAATGGATTGAGATTGAGTCAAAGGCTTTTCAGCATTGGTTACACGTTACCTTATGATCGACCTGGGGTCATTTTTAGCCTCTCACAAGTCCAAAATTTTCTTGGCGATGAGGGGGACTCCGCCCCCTTCAAACCCCCCAAACAGAAAGGGGCACATCCCCCTTCTGGCAACCCCTGATGTATCTTTTGTATGGGGGATGGCGCCGAAAAAGTGGTCATTTTTTTAAACAACATTTCACAAACAAAAACAAGTGTTTGGGGGCCTAAATAAGGCATTTTTTTTACCATTTGAGAAAGCAAAAAGGGGGGGGGGGGGCGTAGAAAGGCGTATATATCTGGTAATGGGTTAACAGAAAATGATGAAAATACCTGAAATTACCCAAAATCGCGTTTTTCCATGTAAGAACATATAATTTGGAGGAAAAAATGTTGTTTTGTAGATTTTTTTTTTCATTAAGAGGAGTTTTTCTCTATATTATTTGTTTATTTGCTATTTTATATGTCCACGAACAATTTGGAAATAAAATGTCAATTAAACTTACAGTTTGAATAGTTTATTGAAAATGCTGGGCCTCTTAGAGGCATCAGTCACATATACAATAATATACATATAATATGAAATATCATAATGAGAGTTCCACGAAATATACTAATGAACTACGTGGCAAATATCAATCAAAGTGTTACATTATGAAAATAAGCTTAGCTATGGTTACTTAAATGTTGACATAATTTTTTTTACAGAATACTGCAAGTTTTAACAATATAATCCTATCTGTGATATTCATTAAGATAGAAAATTTGATTGAATTAACATTAGTACTTTACTCCCTAGTAATATATTCACATTTTTCACACAAAAACCGGAAAATTGGGAGTTGGGGGTCGGTCTAATTACCACAATACACCCAAAGACTGTCTTAGCCTTCACCAACACTACCCGAAGACATCGTTTAATTATTTATCATAGATGATGATTAAAGTATCATGTTAAGTGGTAAAAAGAAGTAATTAAAAGATGTAAGTCTTGATTGAGAAGTTTTCTATATTTTCTGTCGAGTGATAATCTAAGGGGAGTAACTACGCACTACCTTTGGCATTAGTGAATTTGAGTTATCTCCCTGAGGTGAAGAGTTTTTTGTCCAAGTGTATAATTCTTCAATAATATGTAATAATATCCATGAAAATATATTGTCATTGTCATTATTTATGTGTCATCTCTATACACACATAGCATATACAAACAATGTATAAGAATTATACGAGACAGGTAATTTCAAAAATATATTCCTATGTTTTAGCTGCCATATATAGTATGAAATGATATGGAAATAAATCAGTTTACACTGACAAAGATTACAAAACTCATCTTTTGTAATAACATGTGGCTAATTTACAACATACATGTACGCATATACAAGAAATTACTTTTCTTTCGAGAAGGGTGCACTGTTATAATAGAACAATCGCAGTTACTTACCGTAGGTAAGACTATCAAAGAAAGTAAACAATACAGAATGTCATGGGGTTGTCTTTGTGTCTTTGGAGTAATAAAACCGTCTGGAAAATGGGAACATATTTTGCCTAAACTTTTTTTTTCAGACAATAAATCAAGAAGAGGGTGTGGACTTTGTTATTGTACTCGTAAGATTTGATTCTTATTGCTTGGATACTGTGTTTGTTACAATGTGTACATGCATATTGGATGACTCAGAAGTTTTAGAACAAGTATCCGGTAAAAAAAAGCCGAAATAATGTCAGCGACAAGAACAATAAAAAAAATTGCCATACCCAGACCAAAATAAACATAGTGATGTAAGGTAAAAAAACTGAGTCAGACCCCCACATTTATGTTGTTCCCGCCTACACATAGCGTACGTCTTCCCGACATAACTCTTACCGAACGACTGTCATCCCTTGTTATTTTTATTATACCGCCAGATTTGGCCAATTTTACAGATCGCGTTAAATTGATAATATATTCTTTATGGCCATATACTCGAATACTACGAAAAGATATTTAGATGTAGCAGAAATATTTTTAAAAAACGTTACATGGTCGGAATTATGTGCCCCAATCTGCGATCCCGTTCTCGTATTAGGACATGACTGGATTACATGTCCAGGGCGAAAGCTTATTTTGCGCGTTAACGGGTTGATGGTCTCTCATTTAAATATAGATTAAAATGCTTCATTGTATTGATAAATATCGACGAAAGACACTAGTTGTCTTCCATATGGTAGCCAGGGTGACATTCTCACGAAAGAGCTTAAAAAAGAAGTATAAATTACTAATTATTATGTCTTAGTGGTGAGTTTTTACTCAGGATCACGGCAGCAAGCCACATTGAATTTACAAGAGCACAGTTCAGACACCGCATCGTTCAAGGACAGACTGTCAAACAGTTAACCAGTACTAGTTGCCTTTACTTTCGTAAGGCACTGATAACAACTGTACATGCCGGAGCAGAGGAACAGTGCGAATGACCGTAGAACGGGTTTCATTGTTAGTCACAACGAATGTGACCTGCACCGTTTGTGAATCGAACCCGTATCGCCCGATTCACAGTCCAACGCTCTGTCAATTGAGCTAACCGGACGGTGCTCTTTTTAATAATTATGCCTTACCCGCCGGAGGAATTATTTATATTTCTTTTAGTTTGATTTCCTAAAAAGATATATTAATTTATATTAGTCCGTTTGCTTACTGTACTGCTCATTTCTGTCACATATTGCCTAGACTAGGCCTTACTATTGCACATTTCTTGTGGTTTTTTTTCACAAACCTGCCTTTCGGATTTACACAGTGACTTATATAAAATACAAATATAGATAATTAACTGCAGTAAAAAAACCGCAATATTTATACAAAATTAAATAGGTGTATTTTAATAAATTATTAGAGGGCTCCAAATCATTGAACGCAAGTGCAAATTTTGTTGTGTTTGTGGTTATTGATAATTTGTAAAGTCTAGTGACTGTTTGTTTTGTTAACCAGTGTGATAAAACATTTCAATTAACATATCCTTGGCGATTTCTAATATTTACTCTACAATAGCTAAATATAGGTCAATATTGTAATACCGAAATAGAAAATGTTATTGAGCCGCGTCATGACAAAACCAACATAATGGGTTTGCGACCAGCATGGATCCAGACCAGCCTGCGTATCCGCGCAGACTGATCAGGATCCATGCTGTTCGCTTATAAACCCTATAACAAGTAGGGAAACTGATAGCGAACAGCATGGATCCTGATCAGACTGCGGGTCTGGACCCTGCTGGTCGCAAACCCATTATGTTGGTTTTGTCGTGACGCGGCTCAAATGTTATTGTATGCATATGGACATTTCGATATAAGAAAATCTTGTAATAAAAGAAATTAAATTAACTTTCTGCTAGATATTTAAAACGCCTCTCTTGTACAGAGAGGAATATTTTAACTTTTCTGTTATATTTTTCACCCAAAACTGGGTATTAAAAACCAGGTAGGCCATATTTATTTAGAAAAGGGGTTTAATTTAATTTTCTCAATGGCTTGTAACATATAATACGGCGAATTATGTTAACTCATCGCTGGGATATCAAAGAGATCAAACTCGTCTAAAAAAATAATTATCTTGAATATTTCGTATTTTACACAGTTTATACAATATCCAGTCCAAATAAAATAGCCATTATGTTTAAAAGCTTAAGTTTTCGTAAATTTCAAATATAAAGCATTGTACTTAATCTAAAAGACTATACAATAAAAGTATGAAATCAGTGGCACGTGGCGTCCAATACGTGAATTGCATAAGAAACAAGCATATGCATTTCTAAAATTGCCCGAAATCGCCGCGCAGCCGGGCATTCGAGAAATATCTATTTCCGTGATCTTTTAAAATATCGTGGCGCGTGACATCACGTGACATAGACTCTTTCCTGAACAATAGAGCTTATGTTTCCCCATTTCAGAGAAAAAAATCCGTATACCGATTACTTTGCAGGAGCATAGACACTGGTTTCGAGCTTCGCACATATTCAAGTAGTAATGTTTAATTCTCTATGTACACCCGATAAAAAATGGCGGACGCATGCCGTTTTCTAGGCGCCCCTTTTTGAGGTTTTTTGTCGTCCATTTTGTTATCATAATCATGTTGTGTTAAATTATCCATGCTGATTGGCTTTGGGTATGCGATGAACGGGAAGAAATTGATAAAAGATTTCTTGGACGGCGACAATAAATTCTTCACTATATTGAACTGAAATGCCCTTACTATAAATAAATTTTAAAAGAGACTTGAATCTTGAAACTAAAATCTACGCCATCAGTCTCTCGAATGTGTAGGTCGGAATCGCAAAAAATACAATAGTTTTTTTCATAGTAACGAGGGCTGCTCTGACATTTTTAAAAAGTTTTATAAGAAAAGAGAAATCAAACATTAGGAATGGAAACATTAGTAAAAAGGTAAAAACTGCAGACTCGGTTCGACTATTTTCTGGTTAGACAGTTTAAAATTGCCTGGTTGAGGGCAGATTCGTCCTAACGTCAACACTCGACTTTATTAAACTCATCAACTTTATAAATGGACAATGGACCTCAGGGATGCTTTTCGAGGCAGATTCGGATTTCTCACATCCGGCTTGGGCCAATGGGAAGGTACGGGGTGAGGGAGCCAATTTTTTTAGTTTGAGCTGTCACAAGACTGCGTTGCCACTACGATGGTTATGCTTTGGCTAATCTGATCTTTACTTTTAATGAACAGTACAAAATGTATTGGAGTTAAGATAATGCAACTTACACACTTGACACTCATGTCAAATTATGTAAAATAACAGTTAAAAAAATGTTGTTGAATAATTGTAATAAAGCATAATAAATCATAACACATAATAAATTGACCATTTTTTTATTTCTAAATTTTCTATATACATTTTAACAAATGGTAAAATTTGAATAAAGTTAATTAAATAATAACATTTTCATATGAAACAGATAATACTTTACAAAGTAAATTGGTTTACATTCTATACATGTATTTTTTTTATTCAACATGAGCTATGTATAGGTTGAACACTGCTAAATATTTCCCTTTTGCATGACCGAAACTGCATGGAAATTTGTCCTGTACACAGCAGTCAATTTTAGTATTCAAATCCATAAAAGAAAAGACTGTGCTACAGTTTTACATTGATCATATTGGACAAGCGTTATTTAGACCAATCAGTCTGGCAATGAAAAATACAGATGTATCTCTTTCACCGTTGTTAAAATAAGTTAAAAAAGAGGAATGCCACTTTGATATATGGAAATATCACACCGCGTTAATTGTGTAATTTTGTAGATTGTAAAAGAGGCGTTTCCAAAATCGAACAGCACAAATATTATCGGTGTATACTTTATACACAGAGAAATAATGAGGAAAAACCTTTAGTACAAATACAAATAGTTGAAAGCCTTTGCATAAAATAAATAAATAAATCATTGTACAAAATCCTACTTGAAAAACTATTATGCGTTATTGATTAGACATTTCAAGCTTTTAAACGTGTTATTCACACAAGTTTTTTACCCTGTCTATAAGAAAGAGAGGAAAAAAAACCCCTAGAGTAAAGTTAAATGCACATTTAACTTCAGAAATAAATACTACCTTTATTCTTAAGAAAAGTCACCGCTATATTTTAGAACGTGTTAGATCATGGTAATCGCGTGAAAGAAAATAGCCTTGACCGTGAAACAATTTGTGAAAAAATATAACTTTCTATAATGTCTTCCATAGAAAATCACTGTTACTTTACTAATAGCTAAGATAAAAAAAAGTAAAAAAAGAAAAGCTAAAGATGGTTCAGTGATAGGACTGAATAAACCTTGAGGAAAGGCTCCTACCAAACATTTTTCACTTGGCAGAAATATCTTATCTTTACTTTTAAGAAACCAAGAGTGCTTTAATTCGAGATATACAGAATGTGCATATACGACTGTGCATTATATACAGTGCAACTCCCGCAGAGCGACCCCTCTGTAGAGCAATTACCTCTTTACAACAACCGTTTCAATTCTTTCTAAAAATATATAGTAAAATATAAGCAGTCAACTGCAAATTCTATAATTCCCTTTAATATATATTCGTTCTAAAGTCAGACTTTGCAACGAAGTTTCAAAGTTTTACATCTATAGTTACACCCCTCAACAACGGCCAAAATCTTTGTCTCTCAAAGGGTGTTGCTTTTCAGAGGTTGTACTGTATTTTTTTGTGAGAAATGTATGGTGGATGTTGAATACCACCATGAACAGTGAGCACGAGTATATGGCGTGATTAACAGATACACGTCAAAATGTGATTTTTTGGTCCGCACGTCAAACGGGGTAGCTATACATAGTATAAGATATCCACTATAAAAACGTAAGGCATGTTAGAAGGTGTGTTAGATATATACACGAACAATGAAATTGTTACACATACAAATTACAGATTATCACACTTATCTGACATTTACCTGTTATCATTACACTCGGGTTGATTAAAAAGTGTTTTATACATGTATATATACATGTACATTGTATATTCAATTAAGAAATACTGTCACTCGAAGCTAGATTTGTAAAGTAGTTTACCATAAAATTAGTAAATAGCGCCTAAAAAATTGCACACTTTTAAAAACTGTATGTCACATGTGTAAAATGTTTTAACTAACAAAACATAAATACTACACTGTACGTAATATCACAGAAATGCTGTTTAAAAGACTAGCTGAATTCTATTGAAAATGTAAAAAATGTTTTAAAACATAATGGAAACTGAAAACGTTCCTAATGTGTTTGATACAAAACTAAACAAGTTCGTTCCATAAACATTTGAAATATGAAAAATAACACCCCAGTAGCCAATGTTCTCTTCGTATTCCATTTCTTTTAAATGTATAATTGCGTAATTTTGCTTTTATTTTACAAAATTGTGACGTACGTCTCGGTAAGTTAACAACTACTGTTTGAATAAAGATCCAAATCCGGAATCATTTGTTGTATTTAGTAAGCCATTCCGAGCATTTATCAATAGCCCGTTGTCGTATATCCGGGGGTGGGGTCTCAGATTCTCGCTCCTCGACCACTTGCATATCATTGTATCTGCTATCAAAACCCGGAGGTGTAATTTCAAATATAGGGTCTTCCTGTGTAATATCATATTTTCCAATACCCGGAAGTCGATATGACGAACTTCTTGTATTGTTTCTGTCGCGTGCACTTCCTGACTGAATATCCGGAAGTCGGGAATTCGATTTCTGCGAGCCCTCCGGAAGTGTTCCCCCAGACGAACGACAAGAGTCGTTTTCGTCTGCTGAATTGCGTTCATTTAGATTAGCTCCATCGCTATGTAAGTCAGCCAAACACTGTGACGCACTTTCAAGTACTTTTCTCCCATCAGATGCACTCTTCATTTTCTTTGGAACAGCCCATGTTTTAACACATTTCCGCCCACGGCTGGGTATAAAGTTAACGCCAGACCTTTCCGTTCTGCCCGGTGCAGAGTAGTTCATTTCGTGAATAGTTTCGGTAATTGCGTGTTTTGCTTCCTCGGACATTGGAGTGAACATTTTTGCATTCCTGTTAGCACTTTTACTCCTAGATAACAATAAACGTTTTTGTCCTGTTCTCTCTAATGATTTAGATTGAATTTTAGCAGGACATGATTTTGAAGTCACTTTACTGGTCCTGCTAAGAGATGTCTTTAAATTTCTCCTGCAATGTTTACTTGTATCTAATTTATCAATGTCACTTGTACACCCTGCTTTAACTTTATCAGAACTACTGATAACATTTGTGCCAAACTCTCCTGCTGTTAGTTTGTCTATTTCCTTGTTAAATCTATTTTTAGCTCCGCGTGCACTGTCTTCATCTGAATCCGAGTCTAAAGACGCATTGTCTATCCATAAGTCCTCCTTGTCAGAAGAACTTCCACAGTTTTGACGTAGTTTCGGTGACGACGACCTATATTTTTCGTTTTCTTCACAGTTATTTGCAGTTTCATTGACACTGTTTATAGCTACCGTATTCTTCAAATATTGATTTTGTTCAAATTCTGAAGGTATGTTACCGGTTTCATTATTGTTATTTGTATCACTTATTTTGCAAGTTGATTTTGATTTTAAATTATGTCTTTGTATAGCCGAGTCTTTATAACGTAACAATGCCTGCGATAAACGGGCATCGTACACCGTTCGTCCGACACATGAATTAAATCGTCCGTAACCAATATTTGAGGTGTTCTCTGTGATCTTTTTGTGTAGTTTTTGATACTTTTCTTCCAATGTTCTCATCCATTGTGGACATGCTCCCCCACCTCCCATTTTCTTATTTTGGTTGACTTGACTCATTCTGACGATGCTAACCGTTGTGTGGGAGGCACGTGTCATTCTTATTCTTCCGGTTCTTGTCCCGCCCTTCTTCTTCCGGTGTGTCTGCAGCGTTCCTCAGTTCTTAAAAAGAAAACAGTTTACCACTTTAAATTGAAGTACAGCATTTTATGTACCAATGGCAATTTAGAAAATATATGTAAAACTTTGAAATATTCATATTTCCAATTTTACAGAGAATGAGGTACACTTAGCGATGTAATTCAATCCTAACAAAATTTCAATATTGCCTTTTTAACCGTTCGGTCGTAGTTATTGAAATTACATGTATAACACAGTTCGTTCCTACTTAATGCAGGTATAAATTGATTACGGTGTTTATATACGGATTATAGACCGTGCATTTCACCTTTACGACCCTAAATTGTCTCAAAGAACGGTGTCTTAATCAAATATAAATAGCATGGCTTTTGTGAAGTGCCAGTGAATGTTATTGTGTTGTTTTAAATTTATCAAACACTGTTATATTGATAATTCCGCTAAATTACGTCAGTTAAGACAATATTTTAAAGGCAGTACCTCTATATATATACCAACTTTAAGACATATCCGTCACCGTTCAAACAACCTTTATTTACTTTTGGCTACCGGGATATTCGTCCAAAGTTTTAGGCAGCTTATTATAGGCATTAAATACTATCAATATTTGTATTCGTGTTGAAGATAAGTTTTTGACTAAATAGCTCCTGTTGCCTTTCATATTATATCAGGTTAACAATATTTGAGCCGTGTCATGACAAAACTAACGTAATGCGTTTGCGACCAGCATGGATCCAGACCAGCCTGCGCATCCGCGCAGTCTGATCAGGATCCATGCTGTTCGCTATCAGTTTCTTTACTTGTTATAGGGTCTGTAAGCGAACAGCATGGATCCTGATCAGACTTCGCGGATGCGCAGGCTGGTCTGGATCCATGCTGGTCGCAAACCCATTATGTTGGTTTTGTCATGACACGGCTCATATCAGGTTAACAAGATTTGGATTTAACCTCACGATTAATTTTCCCATGCAAAATGTCAAAGCTGGACAGAGCAGGACTAATAACATGTGAAAATATAAGTTATATATTAAGATATGATTCATTTATGCAATTAATGATATGAAATTACATAGTTTATAATATCTATAATTTATTGATCCGTAAGAAACAAAAATTCATTTTAGTTTTCTTAAAACGATGTTATGACATTGACTTAATTTAAACAAAGAATGATATTAGTATTACTTGGAGGCAAAAATGTATTGTTAAACATTATAAAAGATATATGAGCTCGTCATGACAAAACCAACATAGTGGGTTTGCGACCAGCATGGATCCAGACCAGCCTGCGCATCCGCACAGTCTGATCAGGATCCATGCTGTTCGCTGTCAGTTTCTCCACTTGTAATGGAGTTGTTAAGCGAACAGCATGGATCCTGATCAGACTGCGCGGATCCATGCTGGTCGCAAACCCACTATGTTGGTTTTGTCGTGACGCGGCTCATATTTAAGTTTGTATACTAAATGCTTAGTCACTTTGATTGAAGAGGTTTCTTTTTTTTTTTTTTTTGGTAAAAATGACAACACATTTTAGATCCAGGTGAAAAGCAATAATTGTCTGTTATCAAATACACTTTGTTAGATTTAGCACGGCTTTAATTGCAATATAGAAAGAAACGTAATTATCTCTGGTTTTTCATTACTGTACATAAAGTCGTAAAATATGCAATTGTTAAAGTATTTAAAGAAAATGTTATTTCTGGAATTCCATTATGCCCAAGAACTTTAGATAACATGAATTAAACAAAGCAATGTAGACGCTTTATAAAATAAATGATAATAAATAATAAAAATACGTTAAAATGTTAAGCTGTATCTACAAACAATAAAGAATAAAGAAATACATGTATATATTTTCTTAATATTTAAGTTTCTAAGTATACAACAACTTTTTATTTTTACTTTTACTAAAATTGCGCTTGACAAAACAAACACAATTTTAAATCATTTAAATAAAAGTTTTTACCTTTATGTACTTTTATAGAAATGAAAAAGAGCATTAAGAAGCACAGAAAAAGATATATACAGTATATATAATTTACATTTGTTTTTACGGAAGAATATCGCACATTTAATAAAAACCGTTATAAACCACAATTGAATTAATTTTTTACCTTAATATCATAACGATTTTATCCAATAAGTTTTTATGTGGACGTTAGTTCTTAGAAACACAGTTCCAATATAAAATATAAAATATAAGATATGGTTTTATCATTTAAATACTTTTTTAATTAAAATATCTAACCTTACAAGAAGGCGCATGCCACACTATTGATAGAATAACAGTTTTTCGAAGATCAATTTGAATGTTTTCGTGACATAATCAAACTTTAATATAGCTACATCTCTATGTTTGCGTGATAAACAAAATTCATTAAAATCTACACAAGGTAATTAACGCAGACGAAAACTTGAACCGACAGTTTCTAACTGAGCCCCGGCATGTATTTGTTTTCTATATGCTGTTACATTTTACTCCCTTGTTTGAGAGGGCTTCATATTAAAATGCGTATGTGCTGTTCCAAGTATTAAGGAAACGATTTATTATAGCAGCACAGTACGAATGTTGACATAGTTTTTTCGTGAAAGTATTGAGCTAGTGTATACATTGTTGTGTATGTTGCATTTACATGAAAACATTTTTGTGACCAAGAGGTGCGTAATTAGTAATTTCCGATAAACCTTAAATTTTGTTTGTCTTTAAATTTGGATTGCGGTGAACAAATGGAACCCGATTAAAAACGTCATTTAAAGGGATTCCACCGAGTTTTTTTACATGACTGGACTAGAAATAACTTTTCAAGATGATTGTTCCATTTGATAATAAATTGTGTACAAAATGTCAGATTATTCCCTCAATGCGTTTTTTTGTTTGTTTTAGAATAATTATTTTAAACAAAATTGAAAAGTTTTGCAGCGCTTTTCACTCAAATAATATAGAATATAGCACACAAATTTGATTTTCAGCTTAATTTTGAATACATTTCTTAAATTATCCTTTGCATACCTTATTGTAAGTGCCCTTGCTGATCTACATGTATGCAAGAAATTCAAATTTAATGTTTTTTAGGCTGTGGAGATCCTTTATATTTAAAAACGTATGCCATCTGATAGCCTTGACAAAAATCAAATTTAAATGGAAATTTTTACGGTATTCATTTTAAATGTTCTTTTCGTACGATTTTTTCCCGATGGTTTTTATATGCCATTTATCGTTTCTTTGACCCAATGTCACCTTACTTTTCACTTATTGTACACTATACAGTCAGAATAGAGGAAAATAATAATTATAGTCGATTTTTTTTTGTGAAAAAGAGAAGACATTAGGTAATTGATACAGCACTCCAGGAGTACCTTCATTCAATTTAAACATTTGAAGGAATTCAATATACCGAAAAAGATATTTTTATGTGGATTCATAATTAATTTTCCTCCTGTGTTTTCTTTGACATAATAAATAAGGTCACGGCATGTCAGGTGATTAAATCGCACATATCGTTATTCAGTAGGGATTTGAAGATTATGAATTAATAATAAGTTTATATGGATTATCTGTCAGGATATCTAGATCAGGCCCTCTAATTCTTTAATGCTAACTACCAAGTGGCGTGTTATTTGCGCTATTTTGTTTTAAGCTCGACATATTTACACGCGGGTCAATGAATTATTACATAATAGATTAAATGATTAGGCTATTTTTCTTGTCTTTAGACAAATTATTTGTAAAGAAGACATGCACGTGTAATGAGGTGTATTGTTGATGTATATCCTTTGATGTAAGTCAACTAAGATATATCGGGATATCATATGCTGATATGTCGTGTTCTCGGGAAATTCTTCACATTCATTCCTGGTTAGTTATGCAAGGCTGTCAAATAAGATGGTAATGAGGAGTGTCTATTAACTCTATAAGTTAAACATACCTTATACATAATACATAAATAAACGGTTTCGTACAATAATCTCAATGGTCACGCCGGCGTTTGAATTATTATGTCTTAAATCACGTCCACTGTGTAGAAAAACATCTACTGGAATCAAGTTGAATTGTGCCAGCTTGCAATAAATGATACATTGATTGGTAGCAAAGGTGATTGGTATTGCAGTAACTCATGGACATTGCATCTGATAGACCTGCAGTAAAACTATATAATGATTTCGGCCATATATCCTGTCAAGAATCTTTATAACGAATTAATAATGCATCAAACTTCCTTTTTTCAGAGAAAAAGAGAGAAAAAAATGCGATTTCTTTAAAAATTGACAGTAGCCATGTATATAATCGTGCCGTTTGTATTATAAAGTATTAAGATTTTTGACAGATTATATGGCCCTATATAAACGGTTGTTTGTTAATATAAACCGAGCCCCAAGGCGAGGATAATATTGCGAACAACCGTTTATATACGGCCATACAACCTGTCAGAAATATTTACAACGAATTAAAGCGCGGTCTCTTCGTAAATCGCCAGCAGCCGTGTATATGAGCTAAACATCACGATTATCCAATGAAAAGCGACGTTACAAACGTGCAGTATTAAAAAGTTTTATATACACGGCTGCTGTCGATTTATGAAGAAACCTTACTTTTTTCTCTAAAAATGATGCTTGCTGCATTATATATTCGTTATAAATATTTCTGACAGGTTATATAGCCGTATATAAACGGTTGTTTGCAATATAACCCGAGCCGCTTTTATTTCTCTAAAAATGATGCTTGCTGTATTATAAATTCGTTATAAATAATATAAACGTCACGATTATCCAATGAAAAGCGACGTTACAAACGCGCAGTGACGTTTATACATTATTTGTAATGCTAGGGATTCAGGCTATATTTTCAAACAACCGTTTATATAGGGCCATATAACCTGTCAAAAATCTTAATAAATGATAATACTAACGTCACGATTATCTAATGAAAAGCGACGTTACAAAGGTGCAGTATTATGATAACTCATCTGCACAATAAACAGTGCACTTGTACTGTTATAATGCACGAAAGATTAATATATATTTCC